TTAAATCAATGAATTACCCCAGGCTTTTCCCTTGTCCACAAAGGTATACTCTGCATTTTATATTGTGCCATTTTTCTGCTTCTGGTTCACAGTGTGACCCAATAAACTCACTGCTCTCTGATACCATAAAACTTCTGTGAGTAGTTCGCAACATACTCTTTTTGATTAATGGCATAAATGAAAAAATACATTTGGATTCCTCTGGTAGACACAGTGCTCTGTGGGGGAATTTCACTGCCTAAAGGACATAGGCTCATGTTCAAACCTATGTCTAACCTTGCAATGTTTTTCAGTTGCTCAGCTTGGCCAAAGAAAATCAGAAAGAAATATTTGTGTTTTAAAATAGGTAAATCTGAACAGCACTCAAAAGTTTTTTGAGCTCCTAGCAGGAAAACAGTAGATTCCTATGTGCTCTGTGAAAGATTGGCAGACACATACCTGATTTCCATAGACAACCTGGTGGTAATGACAGCGGGTGATAAAATCAATCAAATAGAACAATAATTCCTAATGAACCAGGTTTACATTTCATTAACTTGAGTGCCAAGGTAGTTCTTAATGACTGATTTACTTTGTTTCTTTTAAACTCTCATGAAAAATTAGGTAATTAGGAAAATAAGGTCTAACAGCAGCCTAATACAACTTGAGCCTGCAATGCAGTTTGTGTCTGCAGGTGATGAGAAACATGTGGGCTCAGCAGCTCCTTGGACTGAGGACTCCTCACGGCCCTTGTCTGAGGAGCTGCTCAGCCCACACATGGACAGACAGCACAGGTAGACACCTTGCCAGGCTCTTCACTAGTGGGTGTGGGGCAAGGCATCTCACTCCTGGCCACTGAACCCTGTGGTTATTCCTTCTCTGAACTGACATTATTGATGCACAATTTTGTGATATGCCCAACACAGCAATGAAGAGGAGACCAACCTGATGCTAACATTGTGCTCTAACTAGTAATTCAAAGATTAATTGGGTAGGAACTAATACAGTTAGTCCTGATTATTTTTACTGTCCTTAGGGTTGCTTGCCTTAATTAAAATTCTACTAATTTATTTTCATCAAGTTTAATTCTGAGTTAAAATAAGAATAGGAATATAGCTTCCTTTGGGAACACAGGATTGCAAGGTGAAACGGTCACATTTTAATACATACAAGAAGGAAAGTTTCTCTGAGGCAGAAGCCTTTTTTCAAAGGAAAATGTATATGGCACAGAGAGACACTCATACATATTTTACAGAAGTTGGACTACAATTAACTCTGTTAGTCTAAGAACCTTGAAGTTTAGGAAAACCTAAAACTAGACTTGAATTTTGCAGCTAGCAATAAATTGTTATTAAAGGGTAAACCACCTGATACTAAAGCACCTAGGCTTTTACCTGTTATTAAATCCAAGCTTTCTGGGTCAGTTCTTGATCTGTTCTAAAGGTCTCTGTGTACCTGCTACAAGAAGGTATGTATGCACACACATATACATGTTTACCAGACTTGTCCAACTTTTCACTCTGACTGAAGTCGGTGAGATATTTGAAAGTTCAGAGGCTGAACAAGTAGATACAGTTGTTCAGCCTGAATGCTATATCAAAATCTTTTGTGAAGACAGGGCTTTATTGACTGCAAATGCCTCCTGTGGGATTCACCGTACAATGAAACTAGTATACTATCTACTATGAGTATCATGCAACTTGCATTTGCTTCATTAAATTTCCTTCGTCTTATACTTTTATTTTTTATTAAAACTGTTAAAAACATTATTAAGACTACATTAAAACCCATTATTATTTTCTTAGTCTATTTCTTCACATTCCATAATCAAAGCAGCAGACAATGTACGTTACAGGTAGAATTGCTCTTGTTGTGTGTAGCAGCTGTTCCCAAACCAAAGACGAGGATGTGGGCTCCTTACAGACCACCAAATTGAGTGAATTTTAGCTGGTATCCTGGGAGGAAATGAAAAGTGCAATCAAAAACCTACTGATGCTGACTGCCGATCCTTGATCCAGCTGCCAAGGGAGCAGTGGTAGCACATGGCTGGGGTGAAAACAGGGACAGGACTACTCCTTTCCACAACCATTTCCGTTTAGATCACCATACCCATAATATGTCATTGCATCCTTAAGGGGCAGACATTTGATACAGCTGAGCCAGTGGGACAGTTCTGCCTCCAGCATCCCAGAGTGCCTGGCCCTGCAATGTGCCTCCCTGCACCAGCTCTGCCAGCATGCCTGGCAACATCTCCAGGGCCTGCTGACCTCTCTGAAAATAATCTCAGCAAGAAACAGCTTTACGTTTCTCTGACCTGTTGGTGAGTTGAGAAAGCTCATTTGGCAGCCAGGAATTTCTTTCACTGGCAGAAGGGGTTGGACTATGCAGGCAAGGCAAAGAGGAAAACAGGGAGGTGGCAGTGGAGGAGGAGAAAGGAACATCCTTGGTTTTTTCCAGCAGAAATTAGAGCAGCTCAGCTATGACACCTAACCAGGCCAGAATTATCTATATTTTATTCCTAGCTTAAAGTCAGAAGTAATTAAGATCTGTTTTCAGAACTATTGTTGAAACACAAATAACACATATACAGAATTTCATGAACATGATATCTTTTGGGGAATGCTGACACATAGAAAAGTCAAGATCTACACTTTAAAATAGAGGTGGGTTTGGTAGTGCCTAAACTATTACCCAGACATCTTAGGACGAAGCAGTAGGGAGATACTCTAATGCTTGAATTTCCCCCAGCATCTGCATCCCTCTAATATGTGAGTCACATCTCAGGATTGTTCCAGGTATTAGTATGGCAGATCTGCAGTTTTCCCTCCTAGGTGGCAGCAGTCACTGGTGAAGGTTGGCTGAATTCAAGCCTAGCTGGTATCTCTGCAGAGGAATGGCTAAGCAACTCTCCCTCTTGCCCTTCCCCACTTATTGTCCTAGGAATTTCCAAATGAATACCCCAAACTGGTCAGTGACAGCTCCTAAGAGCATTTGGTGTCAGACTGAGAAATAGGATTAAAAGTTTTCAGCTCCTAGCTGCCTAGTTGGTCTTTTCTCCTGGCCACATTTTCAAGAAACAGGCTGTATTGCCAGTGCCTCAAAAGGAACCCTCTCAGTAAAAGGATCAAGGAGGGAAAAAAGAAAATTTGAAAAGGATGGCCAAAAGCAGCTTCTGGAGGTGAAGAAATGAGACGATGGAGAGATGGAGCAAAACACACTAAGGATAGAAGATGTGGTTTGTGATAATGACTCTGCTTCTGATTCTCTTTGGAGATCAAAGTAGTTTTGCCCTCCTTGCATCTCCCTCCCCACTGCCAGTCTCTAGAAAGCTGTAGTATTTTCAGAAATACTTTTATCTTTCCATTTTCCTTTCTGCCACAGTCTGCCATCTACTTAGAAGCTGTATTTCAAGCCCTCCTCTGCATGGTAGAGGAGAACTGCACTGACCATGTAAAAGGTGTGAAGAACAACAAGTTTGATGCACCTGTGGTCTTCCCCTCACTGTTCTAAGAGGTAAAATTAGATCATGTCAATAGAGATTCCTGTCTTTTTAATGATTTGTAAGGGAGATATTCTCATTGAGCACACAATATATACCACATGATGGTACACAATATATACCCCTAAACCTAGCTCTCCAACAGTGAACTTTCACTTTTTAACATTAGTTTACTAACAAAATGTGCACCGGAGCAACTTACTGATTAAAATAAGTCTATTGAATTATTATGCATTACTCCATTCATGGGCCATATTCTGCTATTCTCACTAATTTGGGGTAAATAATTTATCCTCAGAGTGTTTTCATTAACTGCAATTCATCTTCCAGCTATGGGATTGCAAGTAGCCTGAGGTAACAATCCATAAAGGGAAAGAAAAATGAACCTGTTCCTCTTTCATCATATCTGACAGTAAACTTGAAGCAGATACCCTTATTACTTTGGGCTGTACTTTAATATATTAATTTTCACACTGAAAATGGTGACGGTGAGATGCTGTCAAGTGGCAGCCAAGGGAGAAAAAAAAAAGAATGTGGTGGTCTAAACAGAGACAGTGAACATCTGCATCTGGAGTGAGGAAAGTATGTCAAGATCTTGCCTGCTGCATAGGAATAAACATATGGGTCTTTGATCCCTTAGAGACTTTAACGAAGTCAAATATATTAGGGGCTGTCGCATGGTGCTGACGCCTTCTTAAAAAGAGATACAGTCACAGGTACTCTCTCTGCCGGGTGGTAGGGAGACAATCTATCGCTACCAACACTCTTGGACCAAGTACACCCTGCCCTCTTTCGGCGAAGCATTCAGCGGGACCGCTCCGCTGGCATTCCCCGCCGGCCGCCGAGGCGGCCGGGACACAGAGATGCTGGGCAGGGGCCAGCCTGCACCCACGGCCGGGTCACGGGGCGGGCAGGAGAGACTATGGGAGCTTTTGGGGAGCTGTGGAGGTGCGGGGTGCTGCGTTACTGAATGGGCACCTGAGACCCTTCTCTCTCTTCCTGCATTAGCTCCGGGAGGATAAAACTGGAGAAGTTACTCTAGAATAAACTTTTTCTTTGTCTTTTCCCATGTGTCGGGAGGCGAAGCTTTCACAAGAGGGACCCTTCCGTCTCCAGGCTGCCTCTTTCAAAGCGTCGGGCAGCCGCCTGGATGTGAACGAGTTCCCACAGCAGCATCCATCACCCGTCAAACCGCTTTTATTCTCGGGTGAGAAACTCGGAGAGGAGAGGCGGGGGGCGCGGGCAGCAGCCGCCAAGTGGCTGTAGGGGCCGCTTGGCACAGGGGAGCGCAGACAAAAGCCGGCGGAACTACGTGGCTTAAATTCAAAAGGGGCGCTTCGGGCTCCGTCAGGGCAGTCCCGGCCCGGGGAGGGGGCGGGAGCGGGGCCGGGGCCGCGGGGACGCGCATCCCGGCGGCGGTGCGGGGGGCGATGGGCGCGGGCGGGGAGCGGGACGGGCGTGCGTGGGGCGCAGCTCGGAGCCCCCGGCCCCCGCCACCGCCGCTCGCTCGGGGCCGCAGCAGCTGAAGCGGCCGCCCCAGCCCAGTCCCGGCGCGACGATGAGGGGCATCCCGGGCTTAAAGAGGCTGCGGCTCAAAATCTGGCGGCGATGCGCCCTGCTGCTGCTCCTCCTCTGGGCTGCCTGCTGGGTGGTGGTGAGCGCTGCGCTGTTCCTCTTCCACAGGAGCGTCTTCTCCGAGCGCTGCACGGACGAGAAAAGCCACCGGATCCTAGCCAGGCTGGTACGTGCCCCGGCGGGACTCGGGGCATCGCCCGGCAGGACAGGGCGCCGGCGGTCCGTCGGGGCTGCGCTGAGCCGAGCACCCGCTGCCGGCCGTGCCGCCCCTGCCCAGCTCCGGCCGCCGGAGGTGCCGCATTACCGGCGCCCCGCGGTGCACACGGGCGGGTGGCTGCCTCCTTATCTCCTCTCCTCTTTCCCTCCCTCTTTTCCTCCCTCCCTGCTTCCCTCCCCGAAGCGAGGTCAGGTGCAGGCGGAGGGCCGGATCCCTGGCGTGGGATGCGGGTGAGCTGCCCAAGCTCTTTGGAAAGGGCAGCTCGGCGCGCCGCACGCTCCGGAGCGGGGGGAAACCTTCCTCCGGGTGTTGTTTCTTTTTTTTTTTTCTTTGTTTGTTTGTTTTGTTTTTAGCCGAAAATGTCTATGGACAAAAGTCATCTTTCAAAAGTGCCAGGCAGCTTGTATCGCCTTCTTTATGTCTGGCGTGTAAAGGTGCGATTACTCAAAATTCAAGAAAATATTCATTAAAATTTCCCTTAGAAATAGTAATAAAGAGATTTAAGATTGTGTAGGAAACCCTTTGAGAAGAGGAGTAGCTTGGGTTAATGCTTTGAGTTTAATTTTGTTTCTTAATGAGGGTATGTGTACTGCCAACGGTTAGGTGGGAAGAGAAGAATCCTAATGGGAATTAAATAATCTATTATTGCAAGCAAGCAAAAAGCTGATCATAGAATTCCTTAATTCTGTATAATAAAGAAAGTGCAAGTATAGGCAGTGGTCCTAACAGAGTGTTTTTAATGGCAGTGAGTTCCAGTTTCTTTACCGCAGTAGCCAGCTTGAAGTACAGCTGAGCTCAGGTTTGCAGCTGAAGGAATGACTTCTGCCTCCTCCTTATGTGGTTGGGAAGATCACTGAGATATGGAGGAGCACGGAGCCGCCAAGCTCAGGGAGGTCCAGGTCCTTGCCATCACACTCGCCAGTAAAGAGATGGACTGAGACTTGTTGCTGTTCTTCAGTTTGGAGACGGTTAGGCACGCCTTCGAAAGCCCAGGCAGGGATCAGATTTCAGGCGCAAGCTTGGAAAGTTGTCTCTATTCACTGAGTGATAGCTCAGTTACAGACCCTCCTTCCAGAGGAAGAGTAGCTGAGGTTGCTGTGCTCATCTATCTTTGTAGGTAAGTCTTCAGTACTACCATTAAGGTTTGTAAAGCAACAGTTTTCCTAGATGATGTTAGAAAGGGATTGTCCTTCTAGTGGAATAATTAGAAAATGAGCTCATCTTCATCGGCCCACAAATAAGTCTTTCGACATCTTCTGAGCAAGGCATGAGTTTTGCAGTTATAAAAGTGCAATTATCTATGAAACAAATAACCCGATAATTTGAGTCTCACGCTCTTTATTAAGCAAAAATCAGCCTCTAAGAAAAACTATCTTTCTAGTCATCTGTCATATTTTCAGTAGGAGATTAGATGAACTATTTTAAGCAAGTTGGTGAAAATGCCCTAGCAAGTGGCATTTCCAAAGGGTTTATTTCCTTGTTCTGAGTAAGATGTACATCTGTGCAGATGTGTACTGCACTGACAAGGCAGAAGTGGCACAGGGCATTTTGCAGAAAACAATTTGAACTCTCAAAAAAAAAAAAACACTCTTTCCTAGTGCCAATCTCATCTTCATTTACACTGAACACACTAAATCATAGCAATCAATTTCTGTTTCCTCTGGAGAAATCAATTAATTTTGATGCCTTCCAAACCTGGCTCAGTATTGCATTTACACAGGAGAAGTACTAGCTAACAAGGCAGAACATCAGTCTCAGGCCACTGATGGTGGTACAGTGAGTTATTTAAATTTATATAAATCCTTAGGAGGGTTTACATTATTTTAAGCTTTTACGTTAGTTTAAACGCAGCTTTTCCGAACTTATCTTGATAAGTGCACTAAGGGCATTAAAAATTATGTAGCCAAATTTAATCAGAAACATACAAGCAAATCCAAACCGTACTTGTGTTTGCATTTTTCTGTAGCACAGCTGCTTCTCTATAAGGATTTTGGCTTGGTGTCACTTTCATATTTTAGTTTTAAAAATCTGGCACTTAGTGGCATTCAAAGGGCAATCATTAGGTAGATTTAAAAAGATCTCAAAATGCAGCCATTAAGACAGGAGTGGCAGCATGGAGGACCATTTCTGAAAGATTTCCCTGGGGAATTGATTCTTCTTTTTATCAACAATCACCGTGATGAATTACAATCTTGTATAGTGAAGTTTGCAGTTAGTGCAAAGGTTCCTGGGTTAGTAAATAATAAATCTGTATCACCTGATTAAATGTTTTCAGTCCACCAGAATGTGTTTTAATACTGTAAAATGCAAGCTAATACTCTGGGGAGCACAATAGTGCTATGCCAATATGATGGAAAATGGTCTTGTAAAACTGTATGTCTTTGGAAAGGATTTAAGGGTCAAATAATTGCTTCAAGATGAACTACCAGTGCAGACTATGCCTAAAAGGCATAGATAGAAAATATCTATGATAGAAAATAGTTCAAACTTCTTGATTGCTTACTTGAGGGAGCCTTTTTGAAATCCTTGCTTGCTTTGGTGACGAGCAGAGAATGTTACATCTGGAAGGCCGCTCTGTGTTTCATCACTGTGAGACCATGAACTCCTCGATCAGGTTTTCTTCCACTTATCCTAGTTTGCAAAACACTGCACAAGGTCATTGTAAAGAATACTATGAATTAGACATTCTTTGTCAGATACTAGGTTAATAATAAAAGATTTATAGGTTAAACTGAAAAAACAGCAGACAAGTCCTAAACAGCAACCAGGTTCAAAAAGGACTTGTCTCCTATGTCTGTGAAATGTGAGACTGCTTTTTCCACAACTACTTTTTCTCATTAATGCGATTAAGAATGACATGATGTCAATGCAAGAAAATAAGATACACATTTACATGTTTGACTACAGGTGATGGACATGTGTTCTAGATGTAAGAGGTCTATGCATGTGGACCCTCTAAGAGTGAACTTGATGGAGCACACTAAAACTGTCCATGGGGGCATGTGTTCACCCATGTGAACCCAATTACATGACTAAGTCCTAAATTCTCTTACTGTAGCAGAAGAGAGTTAGGTTGTGGTCTCTCAACAGAGTTTTAAACATGCTTATACTTACAATCCAAAGAAAACCCCCAAAACTCCTTCTGTTTGTAATTCTCTTTCTAATATTGCTTAGAGTTCCAGATGGTAAGAACTGCTAAACTACTTTTGCTAAGAAAACTATGTTTCCTATTTAAAAAGGTAGAGTAAAACTGTATTAAATTCAGAGGAGTGGATTTTCAAAAGCAGGAGCATTGATCTGCATGCTCTGAAGTCTGCAGACAGCCCAGTGAGTCTGCTTGGCCATCCTGATGTTGATGTCGATGCAGATGCGTGTGTGATTCACACGTGTGGACTCAGGGTCAGAACACTCATGCAAGAGTTTGCCTACCTGGCTCTCCTTGCTGGCAATGACTGTTCTCATTTGGCCTGTGAGAACATCAAAATATAAATAAGTTTTATCCCTGTCTGAACTGCCCTCAGGGAGCTGTTGCAGTCAATTTATCACCATTCTTGGATTTTGGACTTAATCCTCCATCCATTCCCCTGTGTGTTGTTTAAGGTTGAACTCCAAATGTTGCTTGGCATCAGAACGTATTCTTCTGGTGTACACACCTCATAGACTGTCCTAAGAAAATAATTTACTTGAATGTTATGATCATGTTCTTTGTGTATGTAACAGCAAGTCACAAGTGAGGTGGGGCTCAGGCAGCCACTGCAAGTTCTCCACATGCAGGGGGTCCTACCAACTTCTTTAAATGAAGGTTCAAATGCCAGAAAGAAGTGAAGGCGGCTGACACTGTCAAGCTGCCTCCCAGATGTTTGGCTTTCTACACCACCTCATCTCTTCCCCTTTCACCAGAGACCTCTGATCATCCCCTCTACTGATTCACTCAAAGCAGTCCCTACAGCTGCACTTCTGAATGTCCATAGGAATGTATCGACTGCCTCCACTTTTGGAAATGATATCATGGAAACAATTATGGGTTTAGGGAAGGACTGGTGAGGGAATCCTTGCAGTTCTTGTATGAATTTGCAATGACCACTTAACTATCAAGCAGCAGTTTCCTTGATTCCACGGGGTTATTTCTTTACAACTACAAAAAAAATTAAGTATTCAAGCAATTAATATTAAAATTTCACTTCTGATAATTACATATAAAACCTGAAAAGTCAGTTTGTTCTGCAGATTATTGTTTTAATAATAAAATATAGTATATATTTTAAGATTCTGAAAGTTCTTGGTCCAAAAGGCATTGAGCACAACCTCTGTGTTTCCTGGTAGGGCAGGAGGAGGTTAGGACAGCTTCGTTCAGGGCATGTTGAGTGCAAGGCTGAAACATGCAGGACTGTGGAAGAAACCAGAAATCCAGCTAGCCATGGATTTTCCTGTAGTTTAAGTGGAGGTCTAATTCATGCTCCCCTGAACCTTCCAGAGAAGTCTTGCATTACTATGGAAGTTATCTCCTGTGCCTTAAAGTGTTACAGCCCATCATCTCATATAGCACAGACACGTGTGTTTAAAGTTTGTCTCGCTGAACTCATATGTGTAAAACACTTCAAGGTAACAGGCCATTTTGTCCATTTCCTCACCCCTGAAAATCCTGTCCTTTACCATCCCAAGAATCCCTGTTTCGAAGCAAGACTCCCCAAGTAAAAGGTCTCTAGAGATTTCTGAAAAACTACTGAGTGACCCAACGTCTGTAGAAGGTGTGTGTTTGCGGTTCCATGACTGCTGCAAACCTCTTGAGCTTAGGACTGTTGCTCATTATTTGTCTTTTTTCTACGTGGTCCATGGGCATATGGTTCTGCTATGTATATTCTGCTCTTTCACTCCAGTGTCTTGACTACAGCAGCGGAGCCCTGACTGGTGACCTCTGTGAAGACCTGTGCGTGGCACAGAAGCTGGTGTACAAACACTGCCTTTACTATGACAGAGGTAAGAAGGTCATTCAGGCTGATTGGAGAGGCCAGCCCATCATACTGAAATCCAAAAAAGAAGTCTTTTCCAGCTACCAGCACCTCAGTATGCTGGAGGAGGTGGAAACACAGGATATACCTGAAACTGAGCTTCTGCTGATGGTAGCTTTGGAGGTCAAAAATGCCTTGGGGCTAGAACTGTCTAATAGTACCATGGGGCCCCTGTGGACAAGGAAAAAGGGACCACATTGGAAAGCACAGGTGGCCAGCATGTGGTCCTTGCTCCAGCAGGAAGAATATATCTACTTCAGTTTGCTGCAGGACTTCAGCAAACATGTGCTACGAATTATTGGCTCTTGTGGACACTTTTATGCTGTGGAGTATCTCACAGCTGGACATGCCTGGCACAAAACTCTTTTTCCCTTGGAAAATGTGATCAGTCCCTCCCTTACCGGACACAAAAGCAGGGTGAGAGCCATCACTGACATTGCACTCAGCTTTCTGGACATGGTGCAGCATTTTGATAATGATTTCTCTCACCGACTCCACCTGTGTGACATCAAACCAGAAAATTTCGCTATCAGGCATGATCTTACGGTAAGTTACACCTTTGGGATGGTGTTGCAGCAATTTGAAGTCAAAGTCTAGTCTGAAGGTGGCTGTGTAAAAATGACACTTCCCTCCTCGTACAACTTTTGGCCAAGGTTTTGCAAAACCAATGCATTTACAAGCAACAGGGGAGATCCTCTGCCTCTTTTCTGCTTTGCAGTGTGAACAGTCACGTTTCAGAGCGCTAAATCCTGATGCTTGTTTTGAGAACTGCTTGCTTACTTCTGTTTTATTTCACCTCCTCAAAGGAACTGGTACCGACAGGGTCCCTTGGATGTGGTGAGGGATGCCTCCTGAAGGCAAGGGGATCTCAAAATCTGTGAATGAAGCTGTAATTTGAGTCATGGCAACTATTTTTGGTAGTGATGCTGAAAGGAAAAAACTATTTGAATTTGAAAACTAAGGCTGAATTCTCTGGTCTGACATAAGGGGAACTCCCCACATCCAAGCAAGCACATTTGTGTTTCAATGTTCATCTTATCTGGTCTGGAAATTCTCCAAGGACAGTGACAGGAAAGTTCCTGCTACTGTTAACTCTTTGACTTTTCCTTGCACAGCTGTAACTCAGACCTGAGTAGCTATGCATGTTTTCGAAATAGTGACGTAGCTCAGCACCACATTGCTGCATGTATCTCACATTCTTCTGTGGACAGAAATTCCTCTGATTTCAGTTGGAATTGTGTCTACAGATTGGAGGCACTGTGCAGTGAGTAAGTGTTTGAACTAGGCTCCCAATTTGCAGTGACATCAGTGGACTTTCTGCACTCTTAGTGAATATAAAGCATTTTTGGCGACTTTAATACTATTTTTAGTACTCACTGAGAGTTAATATTACACTTGTATCTTCAGAGTACTAGATAAACATTGCCTAAACATAGAGCCATTAGGAGCAGTTAGAGTGCTTTCCCTTCACGCTTCTCTCCCCTCCCATTGTTTATTCAGGTGCAATACAGCAGCTGAATAGGGAACAAGTGAGGAGCTACAGCAAGAAACTAAAATAAGCTGTACCAGTATTTAGGAAAAGCGAGGTATAGCAGAAGTTCCTCCAGGCAGGCTTTGCCCAGCTTTCTCAGTTGCACAGGGCTACAGCTGTCTGTGGATGAGCACACACCAGAGCATCTGTTTTACAGCCTTCTTACAGGAAAAGAGATTTCGTTTAGGAAAAGAGGAAGAATGCTGGATATGTCTTCCCTCACGAGTCCTTTCGGTGAGTCTTGCTTTGCCAGGATCTTCCAGTGACTTTTGGGGTCCAAAGAGACAACAGACATTTTCTGGTATAGGTAAATGTGATAATTTAATATTTCCTAGGAGAATTAATTAAGAAAAAATGAATTGCTGCTCACACATGGCACTCCCAGTTGTACATTACTTACAGCTTGGTGGTATTGCGCCAGCAGGCTGAGAGACAGGAGATACAGTCAGACAGCTGAGGGTGGGGAGAAGGACAGAGGGTGGGGGACAGGACAGAGAGTTTCTAATCAGTGATGGAGGAAGCAGAGTAAGAAGCAGAAATTCTACATAGTTTTACCAACCAGTTGCAGAATGGGAACACAGTAAGTCAGCCTCTTTTTTGTCCCTTATGTTTAAGAGATTTTTTTCACTTGCTGGTTTCCTGTGCTCTGTATAGGAAAATAATAAACCCCATAATAGTACCGCTATTCCTTATTGGAGTAATGAGACCCCTAAAGCCCAAAGAAATGTGCCTAGAGTGCAGCAGTTTCACTTTGAGGATTATTTTCAAGTGGTGGGGATAGGGCTCCAGCTCTCACTCCAGCCTTTGCTTGCTCTCCTGCAGCAAAGGAGAGGAGAAGTCACTGCCTGGTAATCATCCAGGAAAATTTTAAGCTGCCACGGAGCTGCCATAAGGTGCAGAGTTGGAAGGAGGTTTTGCATGAATGCACAGTGCTCTGGGAGAGCTTCCTCTTTTACGCCCACCTCAAAGAGAACTGGAAAGATTACAGCACCTTAAACATGACATTAAATCAGGTCAGGAACCAAGTTGGGTCCTTGCTGCAATTCCCGAGGTACCTTCTTCATCAATTGCGATCATAACAAACCCCACCAAAATGTAGCCGATCATAGGTAGTGTCACCCAGATCTGTTTTCACGGGGATTGACTGGATGCCAACACTACATTTTTGTAACAGATGAACTTCAGTGAAGCTGCTGAACCCTTTGGCAGCTGTATGTTTGGGAACCAGGGCTGTTTTTCCTAGCAGAGCAATGGATCGAACGGTCAAATGTACTCAGTGCTGGCAAAGACCCCCACCTGGGAGCAGATGCAGCAACTCTATGACTGGGGAAACCCTGCACTGCTTTCATGGTCTCTTCTCCAAAGAACTGAGCAGCAAAACAGGAGAAAGCTTAAGGAAGTAAGAAGAAAAGAAAAAAAAGATTTGCCTGTTCAAACGTGTGAAATTCCTTAGGATATGTCATCATCATAAAGCTCCAAAAAGCCTAAAAATAGTTGAGTTTTTAAGCTATGCCTCATTTCTTCAAGATTTTTCCCTAGGGAAAGAGGACTAGAATAAAATGAAGATTAGACCATATTCTTTTTCTGCCCATGGAAGCCATTTGGGCTTCTACCAAACCAGACATCTTTTGTTCCTGGTGTTTATCCAGTTGCTGTTCCAGTCACACAGTTCAGTTTCCCCGTTATTTGGGTGGTTGAATCTTAAAAATTAGACTACCATTTGAGCCCAAGTAACTCTGCTTTGCCCAGATCCCAGATATTTTCCTCAAGGAAAATGTGTGTTAGATGCTGCAAGGGAGCATCCCCAATTTAAGTGTGAAAAGCAGCTGTGAACATTCACTGATTGCACATCCATGATGACTCTGGAAGCAGGCTGCTTTCCCTGTGGTCACCTACAGTTTGGCTCACATCAAGCAGCTGCCATCCCCTTACTGAATTCCTTTCCCTCTTTATTGCTGGGATTTTTTTAAGTGGAGCATTCATGGATGGAGTGACACTGGCGGAAACTGGGACTACAGCCCTTTGCTCCCAGAGTGGTCTCACCCCCAACACAGGCAGCAGTTCTGCAAACCACTTTGTGCTATATATTCACTGCTTTTGTGATCCTTGTGTCAGGATGAGAAAAGTGATTGATCCCTTCAGTCATGTTTTTTCTGCTGTGACCAGCTTCTGGCTGGACTCTGCTATGGGACGTATTTCTGGACAAGCAGAACAAGAACTGTGCACAGTAAGTGTGTCAAACCATAGCAAACAGGATTGGGCAAAGCCAGAACCAGCTTTCAGTGAAGTTAGGGATCTCTTTCTGCAGCTGAACGGACTCAAAACCACTGAATACAGGGGCAGGTTTGCTGGAGCAGTACCAGGTGCAGCTAACCCTGGGCGTGCCACTGCTCCCCTACACAGAGGCAGAGTCAGGGGTTTAGTCTGAATGCTGAATTGTGAAGTGGTACCATCTGGCCCATGGATAACTGTGCACCATCATATAATTAAAAGCTTAAGGTGCCATCTGTATATGCTGCACCCACAAGTAAATCAGTTCTCGGGATGAATAGTTCCAGCTTAAAGCAAATCAATCCAATTGATCCCAGGGAGGCATATTGCCCACAAATAATTTTCCCACTCCCAGTGTCATAAACATTGGCTGTTTTTGTTTAAAAAGTGGTATTTATAAGGCTAGTGTGGCTCAGTTAAGTGAAATAAGGCCCTTTCATTTTGATCCCAGTTCTTCACTGGCAGATGCTCTTACACAACATTTCCAGAAGCAAGGAGCAAAGAACGCCTGCTCAGCCCTGTTCTACGGTCTGTGCTGTGCCAGATCTCATGGGTTGTTTTGATCCACAGGTGGTGGCCATTGATGTGGATATGGCCTTTTTTGAACCCAAAATGAGGGACATCCTCGAACAGAATTGCACAAGAGATGAAGATTGTAATTTTTTTGATTGCTTTTCAAAATGTAATCTGAAAATAAGAAAATGTGGAGCACAGAGAGCCAATAACAACTTGCAAGTGAGTAGACACAGCTGTTTTATGCATCCCTTTCTTTTAAAATCACATTGACAATAAAATGCATGATATGTACTAGGAGACTGTGAGATGAAGACAGTGAGATGAAGACAGTCAGGTTTTTAAATGCCTCCACATAAGTATCAGTCCTGTTCAGAAATCTCATCTTGGGGCATGCAGACAGATCTTTATATTCACTAGTGCTTATCTGCCATGGTTTTATGTAGCTGTTAGCACAGTGCCTCAGACAGGAGAGCAAAATAGGGTCAGGGAATTAACATTAACTTCTCCACTGATAGTAAAGACACATCCTCGAGTTGCACCTCAAATACTCTGTTCAGTTCTGGGCTCCTCAGTTCAAGAAAGACACTAAGGTGCTGGAGCAAGTCCAGAGAAGGGCAACAGAGCCTATGAAGGGTCTGGAGAACAAGTGTTATGAGGAGAGGCTGAGGGAGCTGGGCTTGTTTAACCTGGAGAAAAGAAGGCTCAAGGACATCTTATTGCTCTTTACAAGTATCTGAAAGGAGGTTGTAGTGAGTTGGGGGTCAGCCTCTTCTCCGGGGTAATATGCAATAGGACAAAATGAAATGACAAGAAGTTGCACCAAGGGAGGTTTAGTTTGAATGTTAGGAAAAATTCCTTTACTGAAAGGATGCCCAGGCATTACACCAGCTGTCCAGAGAACTGGTGGAATCACCATCCCTGGAAGTGTTCAAAAAACTTGTAGATATGGCATTTAGGGCCATGGTTTAGTGGTAGGCTTGGCAGTACTTCACTGACAGCTGGACTCGATGATCTTAGAGGTCTTTTCCAACCTTAGTGATTCTATGATTCTGTGAGTCAGGGCTGTCCAAATCTCCAGAGGTAATAGGTGATTATAGTGGAAAGGGGTATCCATGGGCTTCTTGACCCTGGGATGAAGTGTCTTACAGCTCACCCAGCTTGTGTTGCTGGGAGGCACTAACACAACAGAGGGGTTTGGGGAGTGTAGCTTGTTGGCCTTTGGCCTCCTTCTCCCACCCCTTCACCCTCACCACTTGTTATGCAGAATGATAAAATTGTTTAGGTTGGAAAAGACCTTTAAGATCATCGAGTCTAACAGTTAATCCAGCACTGCCAAGTCCACCACTAAATCACGTCCTTAAGTGCCACATCTATACATCTTTTAAATACCTCCTGGAATGGAGACTCATCCAGTTCTCTGGGCATCCTGTTCCAATGTTTGGCAACCATTTTGTTAAAGAAATTTTTCCTAATATCCAACCTATACCTCCCTTGGCACAACTTGAGGCCGTTTTCCCTTGTCATATTGCTTGTCACTTGGGAGTAGAGACCAACCTACACCTCACTACAGCCTCCTTTGAGGCAGCTGTAGAGAAAGATAAAGTCCTCCCTCAGCATCCTTTTCTCTAGGCTAAACAACCCCAGCTTCCTCAACCACTCATAAGATTTGTGAAGTACAGGAGCAATCTGAGAAGGAGGGGGATTTCTCAGCTAGAGTGTAACTTGTGTGGATGCTTCTTTTCTATGCCTTTCTCTTCGAATGGCTAGAGGCATTTTGGATTCAGATGACATTTTGTTACAGTCCCAGGGAAACAGCAGGGCATTAGTTGTAGCTACAACAATCTGCTCTTTTTCCTTTTCTCAGGTAATCTGTGACAAAATATTCCGTCACTGGTTTTCCCCAAATCTCAGAGGACCGTTGGTTTCCCTTCCCCTGCAGCTGCAGCTGCAGAAAGCTGTGCAGGAGTGTGCTCAGCCGGGGCACATGGACGCCGCCGGGCACCAGAGGACTCTGAAATCTCTCTCTGAGTTATACCACCTGCTTCAGGTCACTCAACAAGAACTGCAAAGGGCAGAGTAGACACAAAAGGCAGGACTGCAAAGGCTACACGCTAGTCTCTCTGCCATCCCTCCTACCCACTGTACATTTACAGCACAGAGATTGCTTTTCTGCTATGCAAATGAAAATTCATGGCTGCAGGTGCAGCACATGCTCTTAATATCCTATCAAGTGTGAAATTGTTTTACATTACCTGGATTCTGTTCTTGCTTATTTTCCTGAGCTAGCACTATACCTCTCCATCAGAATTCAGCACACCATTCACTTACCAAGAGCTGTAGACACTGCATCTGTCTGAGAGTGGTGCTCAGAGTGAGGATGCATCTACAGAAGAAAAGTGTAAGTAAGTGCAGCAAAACTACTGTCGATAACTAAAAGAGTGGATGGGTGTGGATAAGTACATGCATGGTGCTTGTTTAAATTTCTCTGTAGAATGGGGTTTTTTTAAAGTAGGGACAGAGTGCTCTGTGTGATGATAAAAAAAAAAAAGGATCTCAAATAGGGAAATGTGTTTTCACATGAGCAAAGGGTTGCTTTTGTAGAAAGCAGTCCTGTCTGATGTCCTCAAATGCATTTTCTCTGGGGCATTGCATTACCTGTGCGATAGATAACTTTCTGGGGAGAAATTATATAAAGCTACTTCGGGCTTTTCTAGAGCAAAATAATTATACCCTTGCTGAGTTCCCATGTGGGTACTCATATTCTGCAGCACAGAGGTATGAATAATGCCACTGGATTTTCCCATGTGAACAAGCCCTCAGGCACTTGTACATCAGAGCACTTGATAAGAAGCACTCCTTTGCCAGAGAGCAGAATTACCCAGGAATGTCAACAATCTGTCCTTTGCACTGAACAGAACAATATCCAGACCCAGAGTTGTCTTCCACAGTATTTTTTTAATGAACAAAAGGAAAATTTTTGTATTAATTCATAATCTTGCAATGAGTTACATAAATAAAGATCCCTAGATTAATTTACAATCATTAACTTTGCCTTTTAAATGTGCATAGCTGGCGGTGGAGAATCTGACACACAGGTTCAGAAGACACTGCGTGTGCTTAGGCCCAGTACTGGGCAATGTACCCACAAGCTGCATAAGCAATTAAAAACCCCACAACCAGAAAACCCAGCAGCCTATGACAGCCCTTGGCTCAGAAGGACTCTTCAATGTTAAGACTGACAATACAGATTTTTGGATGTGACACACATAACAACACTTAATCTGTTTCATCTTTACATCCCTCAGCCTTATGACAGCCATGAAGCCTGTGAGAACATAGACTTTCTGTTTCTGGAGAGGTTCTTTAAAGTAATGTTAAAGATTGCCTGTGATCAGAAAAATAGGAGCTGCTTAGGAGACCTCAATCTGCTAAAAATTAACTCAAATTTTCAGACTAGTGCTAGGTCTATTTTATATTTCTTGCAATAAACTACCATATTTTTAAAAATCATGCAAGTCCTTAAAAAGCTCATAGCAAGAGCAATGTCAGCTGCCTTTCCTGGGGCTGGACAAACTGGTGTTAAGTCAGAGCTACAGCTTAGGAGCTCCTGACTGGTAAAGCTGTACTCAGTCCACACTTCTCCTCTACCCAGGCAGAGAATGTTTCAATACTTGAAGATCATCCTTTGCAAAAGCGGGAAGGCAAAGCAGAATAAGAAGAAACATGAACTCCAGAACTAGCCCTTTACAAAGTCACAAAATTAATAGAGAAAATAATTAAGGTAAATTAAATAAATTATGGTAGAGGGTTGGGGAAAGATAAAGTATCAGGTAAGCAGAAGATAAGGAAAAAGAGTTGAAGGAGAAATAGAAAAAAGAAGTAAAAAATATAGGCCCCTTTGTGAAAACATGATTTATGATGCCAGATTGAATAAAGTAGCATTCAGTCTGAAGAAGAAGAGACTGAAGATAAGTACAGTAACTCTCTTCAGAAACAGAAAGAAGGTGATAAAAGAGAATAATAGAGAACTGCCCTGTCCAGATTTCCTTGGTGGATGTGACCAGCAATGAGCTTAAATTGTAGCAAGTTAAAAATCAGGTTAGACATGGGTTACAGGCTTTCTGATAGAAAGGAAGAGTGAAGATATGGCACAGATCATCTGGGAAAACTTCAGACTTCACAAGCTGTGATTTTTAACTACAAGCAAGAGTGAGTGCCTGTCAGGAATTATGTACATGCAGTTAGTTATATTGATGCTGCTGCTGTGAGGTAACCTTTTATTTCCCAGTCCTGTGATTATGTTATTACCAGGTTATGTTTGTGCTCTTGTGACTCCCTCACAACAAAATCCCCACTTCCGAGACACAAGGAGACATAAGTCTCCTTTATCTTACATGTGCAAATCCATGGGTTCCCCTGAGAGGGGAAGGCACAGATCTCGAACGGTGCAAATGATGCTACAGAGCCTGCTGGTGTGATCAGGGTCCATGTGTTCCCCACACAGCGTTGCTGCTGATTGCACCTTGCTAGCTCAGGAGTGACTCAGTCCATATCCCAAGCACTGCTGGGAAACCTGAAGATCTTATACACTATTGCTCTCCTGTTTCTATGGTCCCATTCTTTCCTCCTTTCCAAGCTTGGAGGGTGCCTTCAGAGAAAAGCAAGCATCACACGGACGCTCAGTGCTTTGCAGTGTTATGCTCCACCATGGCAGGGCTCCTCCTCTGATTTTCATGTTTGCATTTGAGACAGGGTAAATTTCTGTTGGACAAGAGGTTCCACTTTTAAAACAGGTGGAAATAATGTAGTGAAATGAAAACTGGCGGCAGTCAAGTACTGGTGGAATGTCATTCTCCTCAGAAGGTCCTTCTCCTTGCAGGATACAGGAAGGGAAGCTGCCTTTGACAGATTTCTCTAAACCCCTCAGGGCCTGGTTGCAGCCACCTCTACCTGACAGGGACCTCCTTCCCCCATACCAGACTTTCCCAGAACATTAGGTTTCACTTCTTTTCAGGATACAGAAAATAATCCTCAGAAACCTCCCAAGAGCAACACAAACGGGTTATTTGTACTTGGCTGGGCTGTGAGATTGCATATCACTGATGCAGCCAGCTCTGGCTGGCTTTGGTATACGCCTTCACCAGTGAGTGGAAGGGCAAGGAGATTCTGACAGGCTGTGTGAACACAGGGCTTGATTCTTCGCTGCCTGTCCTGCACTTTGTAAAGTCACTAAATCCTGGGAAAGAGAAGAGGCAAATACTACCAGTGAAGCAAATGAAATATTACAATTTAATTAGCACAGATACTGGTGACCAAAACAGGAATAAAACAGTAGTTGTGCCTTTATCTCCCTGGGGCAGAAAGAGAAGAAAATTAAGACACTGCTTTAGTTGCCATTTACCTTAAGGAGGCAAGTGAAAATTTCTGTCATTTGAGCCTGTATGGTTTTAAAGCCAGGTTTTTTTGGTGCAAATATCTATTTTTTTTTTTTAATGGAAAAATTTATACACGTGTGTGACGACAAAAAACAGGCCTGGTGCTGCTTTCTGATGAAGCCCCTTTCATACTGCTTTGGCAGCACTGCCCACTAAAAATAGCGCTGGTATGAAGAGATACCCAGCTGGCCTGTACTGCGGAGGACACGGCCAGGTCAGGTGGATGTTGAGTGAGAGTACTCTGGGCTGTTGAACCCTGGGCTGCCCACGCTATTTGTTGCAATACAACAGCCAGGAGTGGGAGCCAGGAAATTCTGCAGTGAAGCATTCCTGGGCTGTGGTCAGAAAATGAAAAGTTGCCCTAAACGATATCTTGTATTACAAAAGTATTTTTTTAAACATGAAAACTGTCAATTTAAAGTGCTTTTAGGCCGATTTTGAAAATGCTTAACATAGTCAGTTTTGTCACTTTCTATTTGGAAAAAATTGCAAGTTACTTTCTCAGTTTTAGTTACTTCATACTGAAAAAGTCTGCAAAGCAAAAAGACAAAGATCGAAATTTATTGCAAATTAAAACCCAGTGTTTCGTCTGGTCTACACAGTGAAGCTTGCTAGTATCTTCAGCTTTTTCTGATGTTTAATTTTCATCCCAATTCAGATGAGAAAACAGAGACTTTTTCACCTAGCCCTGGTGGTCAGATTCAGAAAAGAGGAGATCCACATAGAGTCTTTGAAGGCACCTTTTCTACCCGCTTCATTTCTGCATGCTGGCCATGCTGTTAACTCAGGCTGCAATGCTTTCTGCTTGGTTTTTCTCTCTTTCAGGTGTCTCCAAAGCACGTTCCTACTGGCATCCCTCTTTGGTTGTTAGTTCACCATAGGTTGTGAAGTCACCGATTGCATGAGATTCTTCTCGCTGTTCACCCCTTCCATATAAAAGATGACTTTATAAATTTTCACTGGTAGGATTTGGTTGCACTGAGTGGCCACTTTAGTCTAAGTTGTCTGTTCCCATTTAATTGATCTCAGCCCCACTTCTTTGCTCAGTCAGTCTGTTACCAAATCCTTTTTGCCCTATAAAAGTGGCATTACCTCTTGATTAATTTCTACCACTTGCTGCAGTAGTGCCTTACTCAGCAACTGTCTCCCCATATTTATGGCTCTCTGTGAAACAGGAATGGCATTAAGTCATTGTTTATTCCTTCCTTGAATCTCGGTTAGCAGCATGTGCTTCAACTTTGCAATAATCACTGTCTGTTCCCACATTTTACAAGAAGTGAGTCCAGTTGGAGGACTACTTCATCTTGAGGAAATCTTTAGGAGAGAAATTGAACCCTTTGATCAAGATTTTCACAGGACTACTTCTTGATTTTCTCTAACTGGCATTTTATGCTCTGCAGAAAGCATCTACAAGCAATAGTCCTGCACCAGGATGATGTAAAACAGAGTAAAACTCCTTGCCCTAAAGGATTTATGTGGTTCCCCTTGTGTTTTGAGGTTGACTTAATGGTAACTAACCCAGAAAAGCAGGTCATTGCTATAACTAGAGGTTTCCTTACAGAGATTATAGTGTGAATTCCTGAACTCCCCCTTAACTGAGAGCATTCAGATACTTTGCTGGAGGCACCACTAGAGATAACAACAGGTATTTGGGACCGGGGAGAGAACAGAGGGAAGAGTTTGTTTTCTTTTGATTAGAAACATTAACTGAACAAAGTACTTCCTAAAGGTGAAAAACGGGATCACAAACTTGAATGAGTTAGGCACTCCTGCCTGATTTTTTGTTTCCTTTGTTATAAAGTGTAGGCCCAAGCTGCCCTATTTATTTTTACGTAGTTAAAGGAAAAAAAAGGGTTAAAGAACCCACATTGCAGGTTGCCTGTCTTTCAGCAGATCATATTGTCTTATGTAATGAGCAGGAAGGCGATAAATTGCAGCTTTTAATGAGTATCAGGCTGTAACACAGGAGCCTTGTGGTTGTAATATCAGTTTACGCATCTGGACAACCAACTATAAAATAAACCCATAACCAGTGTCAGTGGAAGCACACAATCAGATTAGCCACCTCAGCAGATGCTCTCATAAGCCTAGAACAGATGAATGATGAATCAGTCCCCTCTGTCGGAACTGACCTCTAGTGAGTCCAAGCAGTAAGCAGAGTCACTCTGCAGAAGCCTCAGATGCTGCCACTTTCCTGGATCCTCAGTGAAATCAGAGAAAGGCTACTGGGCTTTCAGCAGCAGCAAAAAGGCAGCAACATGTAGAGAGGGAAAGAACAAGAATTTTCACTTGGGAGAGTGAAAATCCAGGACAACTGAAATCAGAACCAAAGCTACTGAGAGACTCCATACTGAAAAATCAGAGAACGTCAATAAATTGATTGAAAAAAAAATTCCCAAATTCTATTGTAGTTCTTTAAAATAAAAGAGAACAATAGTACAGTGGATGTAGTGGAAGCACCTCCAAAGCCATTTGCTATGTGTGCCTAAGGATCTGTCAAGTAGACTGCAGAGCTGTATAATGAGATCTGCAGCCTAAAGGCTAGACAGAATAAAATAACCTAGCAAAAGCTTTTAGAACTACTATTTACATAAATGTAGAAAGCTGCCTTAATTAGTAACAGCCTATGTCAGCCAAAAAAAAAAGAAATAAAAGAGGAAAGAGTCCTTTTCTCACTGAAAGTGTTATTATGTCTATAAATTAAAGTATGGCAAAATGCTGAAATCCCTGAAAGGCTACACTCCATAATCCTGTGGTTTACTAAAAGTTTTGATCCTGCAGGCTTGGGCCCAGAAGCAGCAGAGTGATTGCTGAGCTCCTTTAAAAGCCATGATTCTTGGAGCCTTCTGCACTATACTTTGAGCTCCTTTTCCTGTAAACTAGAGGGGCTTTTTCCTACAGTACAAAGTGTGCTTAAGTGATGTTGGCAGCCAGAAGGATGTGCATATGATCCAGCGCATAATCACTTCCACAAGCATCTGCTGCTAGTGCTTTCAAGATACATGTAATCCAAGCTGGAGACTGTTGCGAATACCTCTCATTTTCCCTTGCTGGTTCCTTAGCGGTTTGCTTCCAGCTAGTTAGAAACAGAATCTCCCATCCTGCTTAAATTGGTTATAATCTCTCCAAGATTCATGCTACAGCAGGAAAAGAGCAAACTGCATTGAGTTCAGGATGGGTTCATTCTCTTAAAGGTACGACATGCAAAGCTGCAGGAAAGAACAGAGGTCAATTTTTATTTCTAAAGAGGAGGTTCTCTGGCTAAATATAAGTAGCTGAAAAAATAGATGTTTCAACCAATATCCCATGTACATTTATGAGTTAACATTTTTCTGTATCTGCATAATTCAAAGCCCTCTGCTTCTTTCCCATTCAAAAGAAAATTAAAAAAGCACAATGTGTTTACTACTATGAATTTCACAGGTATACCAATTACTTCTTTCCCATCTCTATGTCAGACATTTCGGGTTGTATCTTTGTCCTTAGGAAATTGATATTTTCCATTATCCCAAGAAAGTGAATAGCTGGGAATAGGCAGTTTTAATTTTTTCTCTTGTTCAAGGGTTATTAAGCACCATTCTAATCTTGCAGGGAGTTATCAGTGGTTAAACATTTATTACATGAACCAGGGCCCATTCAATGGCCTCAAATGTCTAACAATAACTAAATAAATATCCAAGTAATTACTCCAGTGTTCAGAATTTCTCTTTTAAAGTAATGATACCAGTTTTAGCCTATCTGATTCTAGATTACATACGCACAAGTAAGTGCTTTGCCAAACCTGTGTTCAGATGTCCATTCACATGGATTCTGCCTGCCTCTGAGACTTGGCAAAACTGTGCGTCTGGAACAGAGCATAGACGAGCACAAACCAACCCTTGCAAACTTATATTCGTGGTCTTCCTGTTAGTCATTGTATTCTATTGGTTGTGGAGTAAAGGCAGTGTGTGTACACATGGATACTTGTGCATCAGTTTGTTGAACTGTAACTTCATGTTACAAATGCTCGGTGGACAAACAACAAATGCCTGTTTTTTTATTTTTCATATTATATTCTATATAAATTGGGGAAATGCAAGAGTAATTAGAAATATGAACGAGCATCGCACAGTGCACAGGAATAACAAAAAATTAGCAGAATGTTTAATCAAATTCTGCATTTTTACATATTGATTTCACTGAGCTTTCTTAAGTAATTAAAGAGTTACATTTCTTGGATCAGATTCTAGTTTCCAGCTCTTAGAAAATATTGGATAAACAGTATTATATTAGCCAAACCAATATCACTGAAGAAGTATGCAAGTATACTGCATGAATTTCCATTGCATTTCAGTTGATATCTTTCAAAAGCGAAGAAATGAAGCCAAGAGCCAGACAGGACAGTGATAAGCTCTCCTGAAAAGCCAGCAAATGGACTCTGCAGGGACAGATCTTCAGTCCCACCTCATTCATTTTCTATTAGTTTTCCCTTGAACATGAAGTCACATGTGATACTAGCATGTTTTAGGGCTCAAGCTGAATTTACAGCAACATAATTCACTGGCATTTTAGTGCATGCTCTTGATTCATGTCAGCAGGAGAGCAGGGGCTCCTTGTTTTAAATGGGCAGAGGTAGGAGTAATATAAGCAATAAGCTCATTTAATAAAAGGGAGAATACAGACATATAACCAGAGCCCAGCAGGTTTTCTCCTTTCCTTAGCTTTGTCTATGAAAAGGATGCCATGACTGCACCACTTGGATGCCATGTAGGGATGCTCCTCAAGGACTGTGGCACAGCCCATTGCTATCCCTTCATACATGGTGGCTCAGTGATGATACCTGGCACACTGGCAATGAGGCTGGGCTCTGCTCATGCCTCAGGAACCCCCTCTAGGCTCTGGGGTAGGGCAGGGAGATCAAGGACTCTCCCACAGCTGGACAAGGAACAGATAGATGAGGCTGACCTGTTGATTGAAGGCTGTAGCTTGGCCTCTCTCCTACAATAGTGCTGATCATTAGACAATGAGTTACAAACATTCACTCTACCAGTCCTTGATTGCAAGCTCACTGGGAAATAAAAGCTACTTCTCAAATAGACCTTCACAGGGAGATGGTGGATGAGTCTCTAACACTGTTCCCAGTGCTGAAGTGTCTCCTCCAAGAAAGTCTCTCTCCTCGATGAGATCCTTCTCAGTCCCAGCACACTGATGGGGACCTCACCCCACTGCCTACCATCCTGCTCTTCTGGCTGCAAAACAGTCTTTTCCATGCTGAGGAACACCACACTCATGCCAAGAAGAGCAGAAAAAGAACACAAAACAAAGGTGGCACGATAGAGGTTCCTCATCTGTTGATTTCAACAGTCCCACAGATCCAGGACTTTCCCAGCCTTCACACAAACTTTGCTGAGAAAGACCTGCTCTTATAACGTAGACTGCTGCAAAAAGATTGTAGGGGTGAATTTATACTATCTGCTTTTTCACGTGGGAAGTGGATAAGAATTGTCTGAATAATCCATACAAATAAGGCAGTCTTTTTGGAAAGTATAAAGGAAGAGAGAGAATTTGTTGGACTCTATCTTTTCATATTATAGACATATTATAGACATATTATAGACATATTATAGACATATATTATAGACAGCAAAGCACAGCAAGGCTGTGTCTGATTTACAGTCCAGGAGTTCACAGAGCTGTCAGCCAGGTCAGATGCCATCTCTGTAAGCAACAGGGATTTAAATGCACACACACCCCTCTCTGGGCGTTTGGATAAAAGTCTGGTAGATGGAGTGTGCAACTACAGGCTATAAATATTTAAACTAGCTGATCTGAGTGAGTGTTCTCAAGCTGCAAAGATGCTGGAGCACAGAGCAGAGCTGGAGCAATGCCAAATCAATAGGTATGGGCTTTTAAAGGGTGCTTGTATGGATCTCTGTGGACACTTGTGGTACTATGAAGTGCTTGCTATTAAAACCAGAAGATAACAGTGTCTTTTCATCAGAGGAAGCAAGCCCTACAAAAAAAAAACACCCTACATCCTCTCTCTTGCACAGGAACAGGGAAGATTATTATGAGAGGAGGCTGAGAGGACTGTGCTTGTTTAGCCTTAAGAAGTGACTGCTATGTACAGCTAATGGGAGCAGGTACAGAAGATGGAGCCAAACTCTCCTTGGAAGTGCCCGATGGCAGGACGAGAGACAACAGGCACAAGCCAGAACACAGGAAATTCCAACTCAGTATTAAGAAAAAGTTTTATACTGTGAAAAGAGTCAAGCACTGGAACAGAGTTCCAGAGAGTTTGTGGTCTCTGTCCCTGGAGATATTCAAGCTTGACAGGACAAGACCCTAAGAAATCCAGTCTAATTGGACCACCCTTGAGCAAGAAGTTGGACTAAGTGGCCTCCATGTCTCAGTGCCAGCATGGAGCCTTTCAAAATATCAACCACAGTTTTAAAATCAGAAAAGCATAATAGCCTTTTTTAACTATTATTACCCCAAATACTCAAATATTTCTTTTAACCGTGACTGTTATTCATATGAAGAAAACAAAAGTATGTATTTGGCTGCCGTCTAACAAGTGCCCCATCCAGTTATTTGCAGGCATCATCTACTCTAAGCTAAAACACAGACTTCACACTCTGGCCTAGCCAAAGCCAACTCAGGCTCTCAGGAAGCTGAGGAATGGGGAGAACAAGAGTTTTGTGACTGATAAGGCATGGCAGAGTTGCATTGCCAACAGTATGAATCCTCTGCGAAATTCCTGGATCCCAAAAGTTAATCTCCATTTGAACTTTGAGGACAATATTATCATGGTTTAAACATTTTGTTGTCTCTACCAGGCTAAGTGGATAAGGCCCTCACTGTGTCAGGTACTGGACAGGACCAGGGTAATAAACAATGCCTGAGTTAGCATTCATGTTGGGCCTACTCTGTAAAAGACCTTCAAAGGCTAGAGTGGGTATCAGTAAAATGTATGGCCACTGCAAGACCCTGACATGAGAAAAAATCAGAATCAAGCCCAAGAGTTTGATGTACTTTTTAGTGTGACTTAGATTCTCCCTCCCAAACAGAACCTCAGTGCTGAGAAAATCCCAGTGCTCCTCCTTTATCTTAGGTATGACTACAAGATTAAGGACAAAAAGAGACCAGCCAAGTACTAGAGGTATAAAGATTTTAAAAAGTAACTGTCATGTAACTAGCAGAGAATTATAAAATAAATTCTTCAGAAATACAAAAATAAATGTCTTTTAGTTGTTCCGATGAATAAGACATAAGGTGATTCTAAATAATGTATCACTATTGTTAGAAGCTTTAATACTATTGCTTTTTTCCCTGAATAAGCAGTATATGTGGCAAATACAAAAGGGTTGTTGTTTTGTGTTAAGTGTTATTTTTTTTAAAACATTATGCCAAGTTGCTGTTTTCAAACACATGTCGATGCTGGGAAGAAATAGGCATGTATCCATCTTGCCTTCAGGCCAAACCATTTAACCAGGACTGGGAATACTGACAAACTTTCTCAAGCCTTCTCTCTCTTTAGTGCAATTGTATAAAGCAGCCCTTTGCAGAGCTCTCTATGAAAATAACCGGTAAAAATATCACGCTGCATGCTTCCCTTTATCAGGTGGAAAATTCTTTTTAACGTCCTTCTAGAGAAAGGTAACAGATAAGTAGCAAACGTTCTCACAGTTGTTATAAAGGGGGATGTGTCAGTCTATAAATCAATAGCTGGCTCGATGCCACTCGCTTCTGAATGGAAACTGGCTATTTTTACAGAGTTCTGCTCACAGCAGCCGAGCATCAATGCTAACTAATGTGTAGCTATTAGGGAAAAACCGAGCGTGACAACACAAATCATGGAGCCCCTGATGAAGATCTCTGCACATGGCTGCTTCTTCTAATCACCAGCAGAATTTAATGAGACACCTGCAGTTTATAGACACTCTTGCTCCAACATAAATTGCCCTGAGAGCACGAAGTCTTCTTTTAAAAAATATTCTTTAGAAAACCATAAATGACAAAGAGTTCATTGTCACTAATAACATACTCAGTATTAATTTATAATGATAGGAAACCACAGTCACTCATACATAACCTGCAGTAGATCTAAATATTAAGTCAAAGGCTGTTAAGATCTCCTAATTAGCAGTTTTCCACCATTTAGGCTTTCATTAATAAAACAGTGCTAGAGACCTTGGAATTGACCCCTTGCAATGCAGCAAAAACACTAATTGTTCATAAATCTGACCCATATCAGGTAAAGGAGAGGACTGAATGCCTCCTGTGGGTGTCTATGTAGGAACAAGCTCAAGCAGGTTGGGATTCCTCCTCTGCTTGAAACTGTAATGACATCCAGCTGACCGTAGCCACAAATTCTCCTGCCTCACCTTCCACTTCCATTGCAGTGAGCGGGAAGCTTGAACTGCCAAAAAAGAGAGGCAGTTCATTAGAATGCCAGAAAGGATAAAAGTTAACCACACCTTGTCGTACCTTATCACATGTGCAGAGAGGAGGCAATAAAGCCCCTTGTTTTCTAATCAGCAACACGTTCTTTGCTGCATGGCAGAGGGAACAGAGAATGGCATCTGCTAAAAAAGAAAACAAAACCAGCTCCTCTGAATCAGTGGACTCAGTGAGTGAGAAAAGTCTTGTTGCTGGGAATTAGGATGCTGTCATCCACCAAGTCAGCAGCCGTAAATCAGTGGCATGAATTGCTATATCTGTGGGACACCCCAGGGCTTTATTGTCTTGAACCAGAACATGTGGCCACAGCACAGAAGCTATCAAACTCTCTTCAGTAGGTGCACAGGCTTCCCAGGAATTCTGCTAGGAGCTGTTTTGTTACCATTGATAACAGCATTTTGACTTGTTAACATCCGTGATGGACACTTGAGGATCTTTGGTGTAATTTTGTCACAACCTGCAAGTATCTGAGAGTTACTTTAAGAGTTTCCTTCGAAAGGCCCTCAGAAATTGTTAGCACATTATAAATTGTGATCCCTGCTTACACAAGCCTGCTGCTTGTAGGAGGAAAAAGATTTGTGGCATTAGTTAGTGGAACAGCATTTATTGGCAGCATTGAAAAAAGTAATGGAGATTTCATTCTGCTCCTCTTTGGTGTCAAATACTATCTATTTGTCAGTGGCACCGTCTCCAACATTTCATACCCTTTTCCCTCTGTGGACAATAGCTGCATTTCATACTGTGCCAGCTGGTGTAAATAGACACATCTCCAGTGAAGCTGGGGATTTTTACACAGTCTGTGGACCTGGCACTGAACATCTTAAGCTGGCTGTGCAGTTGCATCAGTTATCAAATGGGACATGTCAAAGAGCAACTCTGAGTCAGACATAATAGCTGTCTAACAGCCCTGCTATCAGGAAAGCCACAAATGCTCTCACAGAAACAGTTCTGGTAGAACTGATAAGTATCTTTAACAATATGTTCCTTATGGAAAAGAAGGGCAGCACATTTTTATTCCTCTCACATTATTCAGAGACTTTTCTCATCATCAGAACAAGAAAATGTCAGAATAGGTTTATTTGAAAAATGATTTTCTAATAAAGTAAATGGAACCTTCTTATCTAACGGGAGTGAAAGAGAATAATGTTAATGGAATTTTCATTAAAGAAAACTTCTTTGCAAAATAGTACAGACCATTGGGAGAGAAAAATTAGCAGTCAGATCCTCACTGGCTGCAATCTGGCGTTGTTCTAGTGACAGACTAGCATCTCATCTAGTGTCACAAGTGAAATTACACAGTCAGGTTGTGCACTGAGACATGCATTTGTTATGCACTACCTCGTACTTGTTTTTTGTTACCTCAGGACAGAGAAGTAAATTCATTTTTATTAATGAGAAATATGCAGGTGACATCTAACAGTGAACTTCTCAAGGGTTTGGCCTTCCTTAAAAATCAAACCAAAAATAGCCTAAAAAAATACACATTTCAGGCATTAATCAATCCTTAGTGTTTCAAAACCTCATTCTTATAGCCTACGTGAGTTTTTACATGCTCAGTTCTTGTAAACACAAGGTCATTTTTTATCACCTACACCACAGGGGCCAACTAGTGGACCCCCTTCACCACCACAGCTGAGTCTGCAGCTGTCTAACAAGTTAGCTGTGTTACAGCCTGGGCTACTTTGGTAAACAAGTTCCCAGTCAAGTTCTAAAAGATTCAACAAACATCATACCTCTAAATTATACGAAGGTAACGTTGATTTGATTTCCCCCCCCCACATTTTAGTATTTCCTCATGCTTGAATTGCCTGTTGCTGCCACAGCCCTCAGGACAGAGAGAATCCCACAAACAATAATGCACTCACCTTAAAGCAATACTGCTACAAAGCAGAGCTTTGCTACTATTAATTGTTTTCCAGGTATTTCAAACAGCCCTCATTCATCACAATATTTAGGCATAGAAAGGACTAGTCAGTTACACGGTTATTTGGGTTATTAGTAGTCACAGGGAGCCAGGTACACTGGAGGTGGATACTCCAACTAAATACTTACATCTGCCAGCACAAGTATCTTTTAACTTTGGCTTGAACTGCCATGCTGAAGGACACAAGATGCTTGGAGGAAAGGTAAGAACAAAACCTTGAGTTTTGGGATAGCATTTTCATTGCGAAGCTGCCAGCATTACCATGCCTTGCATTGCCACCCTGGGCTGGCATCCTGCCTGCTCAGTAAAGCACACAGAAGCCCAAGCTAGTGCTGGTGTTGGCACCTCTAAAGCACCAACTATGTCCGTGGTCTGCAGCACTGGAAAGGAATCAAGTGGTGGGTATCTCCATGGAGTTCTCTGTGCCTTTCTCCTCTGCTCCTTTTGGAAGTGGGGAAGAGGACTCTGAGCAAAGCCTCTGCTAGAGCTGCAGAGACCGGAGGTGAGGTAGACAAGGCAGCTCAGGCACCCAAGGCAGCCTCCCTGGGGTCAGGAACAGGCTTAGTGCAGGCTCATTTCCTTTCCACTGTGGGCTGTAAAGGTGAGACAGCACTTGGCAGTGTTCCAGAGGGAAGCAGGTGATGAAATGTGTTGAAACACATCCGAAGTGGGCACAAATGGAGAAACAGGTGAATAAACATCAAATAGAGAATACAGAGAACAGAAACCCTTTTTTCTATCAGTCAAATCACGGCTGGGGGGCCCAGACTAATTAAATTAAGAAACTCAGAATGCCTAAGAGACGCAAGAAAAATCTGAAACTTAGCAGGAAATCTGTTCAGAGTGAAGCCACTGAGTGAGCTGGTGACAGAAATTATTCCAAGGTGTGGAGCAGAGCCAGGGAAAAAAGAAAACAGTCAGCCAGACACTACAGAAGACTCTGGGGATAAATTACTCTCAAGAAGTGCAGTGCTTCTTAGGATTCAATTTGAGGGTACTTAAATATTATTTCTAGTGTAAAACCTCCACAGCCAGCTGCTTGGGAATGTTTTTAGCAACTCTTTAAGGACTGAGAAATACCAATTAATCAAAGAAAATATTTTTTGGGGAAAAAAATGGTATCTGCTTTGACAAATATCCATAGCAGTATAAAAATGGCACTGAACTAGTGTATTTTTTTTAAGTTATCTTCTAGGCTTAATGTCTAGAATCTGTTGTTCTGTGGCTGCTCAGCAAAAGGAGCAGTCCTTCAAATGCCAAAATTTTCATACCTAGGAATAGCCCCAAGTTTTGATCTGCCTCAAAGGATACCACCCCACAGTTTCCAAAACACTTTTGCAGAACAGGCATTGTAGAAGTCCCAACTCAGATAATGATTTTCAGAGAACAGACTCACCATTTGGTAACTGGAGACTTTGACCAAAAGGGGACTTTGAGATAAAGAACTCTCCATAACATTTGGGATTCCTCTGTCGCTGTGAATGACATCACTAATCTGCATAAAACAAACTCCCAATTTTAGTGTCACTCTTTAAGGCATTTACAAATACGTGAATGCCCTCCATTAACAGAGAGTTTATTAGCTTGAAAGTATTTTTTACTAAACAAAATCTTCACATTTTTCAGTACTGAGATCAAAGCATAAGCAATTCCTATAAACATTTTATTTGAACCAGCATTAGAAACCAATTTGGCATTTGTTGTATCATTTGTCCCATTCTTATGCAAAAGCCTCCTATTCTGTTTTGTATATAATTTTATTTTGATTAGTGTAATTTTGGTTGCAACTAATCACACACATTAAAAATCAGCTAGCTTTGAATAAGCCTTTATAAAAAT